GTGATGGGCAATTAGGGTGTTTATTACACTGTTAAACTTTTGTTTTTAAACATTTTCATTAAAAGTAAACAAATAAAATCATGTAGTGGTAAAACAAAAGTTTTTTTGTAGGAAATGGGTGTAAGGAAATAGGGTGTGATAAATGCTCAGGACTGTGGTAGGGACTAAGACTTTTTCTGTTACATAGTTACTCAATGCTGACAAGTACTCAAATAACCCTTAGCACCCAGCACAATCCGTGGCACAAAGTAGACACCCGGTAATCAGGCATGAAATAGATAAAAATCAGGTCTTGCTCCCCATCCCCTGCAGCTCCTAGTCTGGTCTGAGATCACCCCTCTGTGCTTTTAGGCTTGAGTTTATAATTTAAGTGTTACAGAAGCTTTGAGACAGCAGAGGGCGCTCTTCAAGGTTCGGTGCTTTTCTTGGAACTATAAAACTACCGTGGGCAGGGCCAATTTGATGATGATGATAACAGTAAAAATGTGCGTAGTACATTGAAAGTATCTCGTTTCCTCCTTAAAATTCTCTTGTGAAGTAGGAGATGTTTCCTCATTTTACAGCATAAAAAAGTAGTTTGCTTTCCAGTTATGTCACGATTGGAACCCAAGGCATTACAAACTCTGGTATATTGACTCCCCAAATGACGGATGGTGAACAGTGTTGGCCAGGAAGCACTGCTCAGATCCTGCTGCACTAGAAATCTGAAGCACAGAATCACAGGAGTTCTGCTTCAGTATGCTTCACTGATCCAGTAGAGGTTATAGAGTCAGTGACATGATCTTACAGGTTAAGATAGAAGTGCAGATAACTAATACAGGGAATAAGTGCCGGGAGAGAGAAAGACAAGTACAATGAGGGTTTCAACAATTAAAAGTCATTTGGGGGTGGGAAGGTATAAATGGCTTTTGATAGTTGCTTCGGAGGAATAAGCAGAATTTCAAAAGTTCAGAAATTTAGCTAAGAGTATTCAAGTTCTGTCTGTGTGGCTTTACCAGATAAGTGGTTCTGTTTGGTTCATCATGTATCTAGAGAGGAAGAGTGAGAGGTACAGTTTAAAGGTAAATTGAGGCTTAGAGTGCACTGTGGATGGCCTTGATTGCTAGAGATTTTAACTCTTGCCATAGACAAGGAGAAACTCTAAAGTTTTTACAAAGGTGTGATGCAATTAAAGTTACATTTCAGGGCTTGTCCCTTTTAGGAATATGCTTTTCTCCCAAATATTTACAAAGCATACCCCTCTTCTCTTTCAGGTCTTTACACAAATATCACCTTCTTTGTGAGGATTTCCCTGACCTTTGGTGTAAAATTACAGCCCCATCCAAGACACCCTTATCCTGCTTCCTTGCTTTATTAAACAGTACTTGTCATAATCTAACATGTTTATTTTTATTTATTTATTTTTATTGTTGACTTTCCTCCCACTTGAATGACAGGGGAGAACTGTATGTGTTTTATTAACTGCTGTAAACCCAGTGTTTAGAACAATGGCTGGCATGTAGTATGTTCTCAGTAAGTATTTCTTGAGTAAGTGAGTGAATATGGCAGGAGTGAAGGAGAGACATTAACTTGAAGAGACTGAGGTCAAGCAGACCAATTAAGGTGCTCCTGCAGGAATCAAGATAAAATGTGATAAGGGCCTGAATGAACTGGTGGGGGGTAGGGTGACACCAGTATGTGGAAAAGGAGTGGCCAGTGTGGCTGTTGAATTATGGTATTGCCACATGACTGGATGTTGGAGTGAGGTTCCAATGGGAATCAAAGATGGCTGTGAGATTTCAAACCTGGAAAACTGAGACACAGTGTTTGAACAATGGGTCTACAGTGCCAAACTCTGCCAGAGATCTAAATGATAGTGAATTTTGACAGTAGAACAGCTTAAAAGGGAAAGATTCCAGTAATCATACTGGTGTCAATAAAATGTTGGAAACAACCTAAATGCCCCTGGGTAAGAAAGTGGTTGCTTAAACTGCAGTATGTCTACCCAATGGAGTATATACAGCTGTAAAAAAGAAACAGCTCTTTATTAAGTGATGTGGAGGGATTTCCAGCGTATATTCTTACATGAAAACTACAAAGAATATATATATAGTAGGCTATCCTTCCTGTAAAAAAGAAGATGTAGAAATATATTCATATGTCTACTCATTTGTTGAGAAGAAACACACGGATGAAACCAGAAATGAATGAGGTTTGTGAGGTGGGTGGGAAAGGTGGTAGAAAGATGGGGGAAGTGGGACCTGGGTAACAAGATGAGGAAAGACATAAGAGTGGAAATAGGTGACTGAAGTATCTTTGAAAAATAGTATTTTGACTGTATTCTGTAAGGTTAAAGATGAAATGAATAGTATACAAATGCTGTATTTTAGTTGGTAAGTTTTTCTCTTACAGGGGCATGGGTTAGGAATTCTGGAACTTTGTCTATACTAGGCTTGACCAAGACAGTAAATCTATTGTGGGTAATGAAAATTACAAATAGGAAAGGAAGGCTACAGTGAACCCTGTGTGGGATCAAAGTTACCAGTGTGAACTCCATGGTTTTTAATATACATACAGATGGATAGACACAGAAATAAATACAGATGTATGTGTTAATAAACCTACATATACCTTGTTGACAGAAAGGGTCTAGAAGTAGTGACAGGACTCCCCTGGTAATATTGAGCACACTTAGAACCCAAATTTTATTTCTTGATACCATTCACCAGTAAAAGAAACAAGGGCTCCTTGGAAAAATGATTGATTCCAGAGCTGGGGCAGGGAAAATACGAGCTGAAAACATTTTGCACCAAAAATAATAAGTGCTCAAAAATTGATGGGGCATTTTGAAAAAGGAGTCAACATGAAGGAGCTCTCAAGCCAAGGCTGATAAATTTGAACAAGAAAATAATAACAGTATTAGATTACAACTCATGGAATATAATAAGTATCCACAAGTCCATATTGATGCACATTAATAATAAATAGGTGGGGAGAAGGGGTAGCTCTCCATACAGTAGAATTCTAGTTAATAAATTGAACAGGAAAGATGGAAGTAGGAAATCGCCATTGACAAACACCACAGGCAGGGAAGGACCAGCACTAGATGCTAAAACTAGGGGGGAAAAGAGTGCTAAAACTAAGGGAAAAATATGAAACAGGACATCTTCCCACAAGATAAGGAGAAAGGAGTGATTGTGCAGTGAAGAAATCTGTGAAGTCTACCTGAACCAAATGATCAAAGAGAACATCACCAGTGACCAGATAAAGCATCATTTACCCACAGAGGAAGGCTGAGCATTTGTGTGATTTTCTTGCCAAAAATGCATAACCCCAGTCTAATTGTGAGGAAACATCAGCCCAAGATGAGAGGCATCCCACAAAATAACAGGCCACTCTTCCTACATGTCAAGGTCATGAAAAGCAGAGACTGATATTATAGATTAGAGGAGGCTTAGGAGACATAACAACTAAAGCTATGCAGAATTGAACAAACTCTCTTTAGTGAGGAAATTGATAAGCACAAATAAGGTTTATAGATGAGTTAATAGTGTATTAATGCTCTTTTCCTAATAACTCTGATAATTGTACTATGGTTTTGTGATGTATTAATATTAGGGGAACGTGGGTGAAGAGATTCTGTACAACTTGTGCAACTTTACCGTAATTATAAAATTAATTCAAAATGAAATGTTTTAAAAAACAGTTTAAAAATGAAACTTTATGGAAAATATAAATATCAAAAGGAAGGAAGGAACCATAGGTAATTTGGTGACTGGGTTTGGGGACTTGGGATAAGATTTTATTGATAATGTGTTGTCAAAAATACCTTACATTTTTTGGGTGGTGGGAAAATGAATATAAACTGTAATGGGGAGGTCTGGAGGAGAAGCTGGTTTTGTGGAAGTAAGATAGGTATTGTTTGCTATCTCGATTATGCTTTCAAAATTGTAGGTGGTGAGGACAAAATAGTGCTCAGACTCAGGGTTGCCATGTAATAAGCCATTGTGTCTCCCCACCAGATTTGCTGTCCTCAGCAGTGAGACATGGTGTCAGAGTCCCCACTCCTAAATAAAGATGCTTGAGATGCTTAGTGTGAAAATGAAGGTCTTGTATGATCAAGCCAAATTTGAGCCTATTGTTTGTGTACTTTAGGACTGGGGCAAACCGTACTGAAGGATAGGATATTTATGGAGAACAGGAAGCTGAAAATAATGCCTCTATTTAATAGAAAACTGTTTTGAAATTTAGGATATATTCTTTAATTTGTAGGTACCAAAGATGATACAATGAAATGTAATCTCAGAAAAAAAATTTCTGGCTACATGGATAGAGCAGAAAACATAAAGAAATACTTGGATCAAGAAAAAGAAGGTAAAGAGACTATTGTAGAGAATGTGTCCATAAGCTGTTGTGACAAAGCCCATTATACCAGTGTTTCTGGCTCTGCCCTTTGGAGCACTGTGAGGTCTGGACCATTTATCCCTAGGGGCTTAGAGATTTATTTTTTACTCTGCATTTCTGCTGCTCTACACATAAGCTGTTCTTAACCTTTTTTTGGATGGGGGAAGGTAGGGGTCAGATACCCTCTTAGGAATCTGATTGGAGCTGTACATACTGCAGGACTTTGCATGCCATTTTTAAGGAATTCACAGGTGCTCATAAAGCTTATGTGTGGACTTCAGTTTAAGTAATACTACAGAGAAATACTGAAGGTAAATCCTGTATTTTTTTTATTTCCCCTTATAAAATTACCAAAACATTAAAATAGCTAAAGAAACCCTTGGAATTCTTTGGGATTTTGTTGTGAATTAAAACATTTCAGGAAGTATTTCTAATGATTAGGGATGCCATAGGTATAGTTCCCTATTTATTAGTTCTCTACTTTGGAGCATCCAGTTTATACACATATATATGTGTATTTATAGCCATTGCCCCCTTTGCCTAAAGTGCACACTCCTGTTGCTTTCCAGAGCCAACGGAACTGCTGCCCTTAAAAAACCAGCACCTCTAGCCCTCAACTGCCCTCCCCTCTCCCCATCACTTTCTGGTATTCTGTACTAGCCCATATTCTGGATACTCCCACTGAGTTCTGTTTAATGGGAATTAAATAGTGTGTCCTTCATCCCAAGAAATCTACAATGTAATTTCCTTCTAAAACACTGATGAAGTATAGTAACATCCACACTGCAGTTTGAAAACACTTAGTTAACTTTGGTGGTTAGCTTGGCTTGACAACTGAAGCATAGCTGTTAAACATACTTCTGGAAATACTAGGAACAAACTACTGGTTCTTAAAGTAAAGAAGTGCAGCTGCCATATCAAGGAACTACCATTAAGGGTCACATTTAAAAAAAAAAACCTTAAAGGTCTTTGCTAACTTAATTCAATACATTTTCATTTTGAATAAACACAAAAGCAGTGAAACTATCCTACTGATCGTGTGGCATCCTAGTGTTTGGCTTGGGTTATTACTATAAGTTTCTGCTTAAAACACTCTACAAGTTCTAAGAAAAACTTCTAAACTCCATATTATACTGCATTTGTGTGTTTAATACTCACCTTAGCTATTAAATTGCAGGACATAAAAAGACTTAACTGATGGGGGGGATGTGGTGGGGACTTGATAATGGCGGGAGTCTAGTAACCATAATGTTGCTCATGTAATTGTATATTAATGATACCAAAAAAAAAAAGACTTAACTGAAGAGAAGGACAAAACAGCCACTGAATTTTGTAGCTTGTATTTCTATTCATGGTGACAGGAGTATCAGATATCTTTATACATAAAGTCCTGTCTTAAATAAACTGCCTAGTTAACAGGATTCACTCAAGAATCTGTCTCAAGAAATCTCTGGACTTCCCCATTTGCCTCCACAAAGGCAGAAATCCCTTGTGGGATGGCTTGCCTTGTTTACTCTATATGTGTAGCATCTTGCAGTGTGCCTTCTATATTGTAGGCATTCAGAAAAGTATGCTGAGTTGTGAGTTAAAAAAAAGTAATTTTATCTGATCCTGATTAAACATATATAAAGTTTATAGAAAGAAAGTGGTCATTGGTTTATTGGTTTAGTATTGAAGCTTGTGTTTTGTAGATGGAAGATATCACAAGCAGATTAAAATAGAAGAGAATGCAACAGGTTTTGGTTATGAGTCACTTTTTCAAGAATACCTTAATGAATGGGTTACAGAAGTTTGGATAGAAGATCCTTATATTAGACATACTCATCAGGTAGGTGAAGTGCACTAAAGTATGATGAAATGTTACTTGAAATGTATGAGTTGGTAATAACTCATCCTAATGTCTTTCAGCTGTATAACTTTCTTCGATTTTGTGAGATGCTTGTTAAGAAATCATGTAAAGTAAAAACGATTCATCTTCTCACCTCTCTGGATGTAGGTATCTGAAAGCATTTATTCTTTTCAGTTACAAGATGTAGTTGAAACAAGAAAAACCTATACATAGTGCTTTACCTAAAGCTATTGTCTTGGAAATGAGAATGTTATTATCTAATGATAGGCATAAAACTCCTTGAGAAAAGTACAGTTGATGTAAGTATGTGGTACCTTGAAATTGGCCACTTTGCTAAACTCTCTTACTCAAATAGATTGTTAGTTAAGTCTCTCCAGTGTTCTAGGAGGCAATCACACTGTCTGAACTATTGAAAGTTTTTCTCTTCTTTACCAATTATTACACATTATCACTTTTTCTTGATTTATTGCATTGGCTTTCTGGGGGGTGGGTCATAGCATGATGGTGGGCATCTCTGTCTTGATTTTGACTTAAGTACGAATGCTTCTAAATAATAGAAAGCAGCCCCATCTGAATAAGTAAACAGCATCACTAAATACCTTTTAGGAGATAGAACAGCATTGCGTTATGTTCATGTTAGAAGAGAACAATTATTTTTATTAAAAATTCCACTCTTAAGGTACTTAATATTCCTTGGTTGCTTCTTTGAGGTAACAGATATTGAAACTAGTATATAGTCTTTGCATTTTAATTCATCTGTGATACTATATAGGTTAGGAATAATTTAAAATATTAGTAAGTGAGGCAGAAAAATGTATTTTTCCTATTAACAGGGCATTGGGAAAAAGCAGCAATGTAGTGGCCTGGAAGAAATAAAAGAGTCACTCAGAAAGCATGGAGTGCTATTGGAATTAGAATATTCTTCTTCAATACATGACCGAGAAATTCGGTTAGTATACAGTAATATTTTAATTTTTATGCACTTGAAAAATATTTTTTTCTCTTAATGGGTTAACTTTTATATAATTGCATATAAATATTCAGCTTAAAAATTAACATCTTAAATCTCAGTTTTAGTATATCTTTTCACTTTTGAGAAAAAAAATCTGGCTTATTTGTCCTGTATGTGTGTTTCATATTTCCTAATGGAATAAAATTTATGCTTTATATGTCATGTGAAAAGAGGAAGTATTTTTCTATTCAGCTACATATAGTGTTATGGTATTGGGATAATTTCCTTTTCTGGTGATATTAATACTTATTTAATATAGTTTTACTTCTTATAGAGTATTAAGTATTCTAGTCAGCATGACAGTGTGCTGTGTCTGTAAGGAAACAGTATAGGCAGTTATATTAATGATGCATTCCCATGTTGAACAGAGTGGCTTTCACCTGTTTATAGTGACAAGACCCTTAGTTTTAATGAAAACGTAAGCACAACCTAAATGCAAAACAGATGAAAATGCAGCTGCTGTGGTTGAAGCAGAGGTTAAGACCCAGAGCTCTTCCTGCTTACATCCCTTATCTCTAGGTTGCAGGACCCCTAAAACACCGCACACTCTGCCTGAGAACACATTGATGCCAGAACAGGAAAGTTTTATGAGCAAGCCAAAATTCAGGAGTGAGGTTTGATTTAGTTGCTAAGCACTTTATCAACTAATCAACTGGTGGTTTCTGTGGACCTTTTGTTTCATTGTAGGTATAGTTCATGAGTATCCCAGGTTTGGGTCAGTTCATGTCCCTAGAGGAAATGATTTTCTTTGTTGGTGTAAATTTTGCTGTTACACCACACCTGTGATAACTGTCTGACTTAAATGTCTGGAATATAATACTTATACTCATTTCAATAGGTTCAACAATGGATGGATGATTAAGATTGGAAGGGGACTTGATTATTTTAAGAAACCACAGGTAGGATATAGTCTTATGAGTAAGTATGTAGCACTCTTTGTATTTTAACAAAATGGCTTTCGTTCTTTGTTTAAAAAGCTTATTTTCTTCTTTTAGAGTCGTTTTTCCCTTGGATATTGTGATTTTGATTTAAGACCATGTCATGAAACAACAGTGGACATCTTTCATAATAAGCACACAAAAAAAATATGATGGGTAGTAGCTTACATTATATATTTCTATTTTTAGTAAATATTGTATTTTTTTTACTTTGAATAGCTCATTCCTGTAATGTATAAATTTAACAATAAACTTTAACATTTCTACTAATTTATGGATCTGTTGTTCAGTTGTGTGACCCATCCTAAAGACATATGTAAATACACTACTCAGATTTACAGTGTTTCAAGTCATACAATTAATTTAAACATGTTTCCAGCTTTTCTTTTATTTGGCTATTGGAGAGTAGATCAACAAGTAATGAACACATATGATGAAGATGAATTGGATGTTAATCTTGCCCCTGGGAATTTAGAGTCCAGAAGGAAAAAATCATAGATTAGAGCACTCCTTAAGAGATAGATGGGCTTGTGGGTTTAATAACCAAAAAAAAAAAAAAGTACAATGTTAATTTTGTTACAACTGAGTGTCTTTGACAGACATTGACCAACCTTTAGTTATCTAATTACCTAACTCCATAAAGGCAAATCAACCCATTTAGTTACCCAGATGAATTCTGTGGCATAGTCAACCTTGGCTGGCATGTTTATAAAGCTTTGTACCTTAGAATCAACTGTTCTAGGGAAGCTCATCCAGCCTGATGCCAGCTGACCAGTCCCACATGTGCTCACTCTTTGCCAGGAGGTATAAGGGATAGAGGCACTGTGCCAGGTGTGGGATAAAAGTCCTCCCAAACTCCTGCAAAAAAAACTGGCTCCTCTTTCACGTTCTTAGGGATTGGATAGGCCTGCACCTTGTCAATAATAACTTTTGGGATAACATGCTTCTAACTCCACCACGTGACTCCCAGAAACGTCTTGGCACTGCCTGGGCCTTGCGTGTCCTGCAGGCACACTGCCTGACCTGCCCCTCACAGGTGTGTCAGCAGTTTGCAGCATCCTGCAGCAGAGGCAAGTCCTCATGTGTTAACATGACACCATCAGTGCAATGGGCCCCTTTTCTTGATGCAGAGGAGAACAGGGATAGGTCTCAGCCTCCATCCCCATGTGGTGGGCTATGCAGGCGGCCTTGGGGAAGCACTGGATCCACTGTTGCCTCTCCTGTGGGAAGGCAAGTTGACCTTGTGACTCGGGCCAGGGTTCTATGGAAAAAGGCATTTGCTAAGTCTAGCACAGCATGATACACTCCTAGGACGATGGCCGTGGTGTCTACAATGGGGGCAACATTGGGCATTGCCACCTGGATAAGGAACATCCACCTTAATTCTTGCTAATCCATCATGAACCATCAGTGTTTTTTTACCAGCCATACTGGGCTGTTGAAAGCACGATGGGCAGGCTGTACAGTCCCACTTGGAGCTGCTGATCAGGTGGCTTCTCCTGTCTCCTTCCACTCCCCAAGGAACTTATACTGTTTGACAGCTACCCCTCTGTGGGGTTGGTAGACTTGCCAGTGCCCAGTTGGTGTTTCCCCTCAGCACTGGTTTGATTACTCTTAGCCCAGAGGTGGAATTCACTGATGCCAATTCGCAGAGTTTGACCTTGTAGGAGGTTAATGCCCAGTATGTTCTCTGGTGTTAGAGAAAATCTCATATTCTTGGGGGTAGAATGCTCAATTTGTAGGGTCAAAGGGACCTTGCTGACTATAACTGCCCTCTGCAACCATAATTGGTGCTGAGGGAGCCAGAAAACTTTTGAGCGTCACCATGTGTTAGAGTACATTCATCTCCAGTATCAAGCACAGCCATCACCTTTTGTTTATTTCTAGGGGACTCAGTGAGCTGAGGGGAATAGTGAGCTCAACCTGGGGCCTCCAGTTACCACCAGTGGCCCTTGCCTGGAGGTGATCTTGGCCCACATCCTATACCTGGGGCATGGGAGGCACCCACATCCAAGAGGGCTATCCCTGAGTCCTCCACTGAAGCAGGTGGGGCCTCAGGTGGTAGGGGCAGGTCTGAACTGCAGTTCAGGGTTATGGCTTTCCACAGGCTGACCAACACAGGGTGAGGTTACTGGTCTGTCTTTTCAGGTGGGGTCCTGGAAGCAATGAGGTCAAACCACGTTTGCTTCCAGGTTACTTTTACTGGACCCATAACAGTTGATGGGGATAGACATGGCTTTTAGAGTCTTCTGTCTTAGGTCTTTCCCATAGTCCATTCCTGTTCTGGGATTTGTCAGTTTCCCACACATCAGCAATGGACTGCCCAACATAAATATTCTTTTCACAACTGGGCTCATCATGGATATTAGTGTCCCATACAGGTACTAGAGGCAGACTTCACTTTCATTCCTTCAGTGAATATGGTTTGATCAGGGCCTTCAAAGGGCCTGGTCCATTGTCAACTCCATGAGAATTTGTTGTACCTCCTTGTATGGTAGCACTGGATGGCAGATGCAGGCACACCCTGAGTACCCCAGTTCTTCATTACCTTGAAAATACATAGTTTCTATCCTCCTGTATTCCCACCAGGCCAAAAATGTAACAGAACATGTTGTTTGGCAGGCCAAGATCAGAGATTCTGAAAATGGCCAACCTGGGCCATGTTCTTGGTAATAAAGAACATGCAGGTGGCAGGCCTTTATCTCCTTGAGGCACTGCTCATGCCAGGAGGAGAGGGGCCCTGATAGTTGCTAGGTTAGTTGCTACACAGTAAAAGCTTGCTGCACGTAGACCCCAGTAGTGGAGGCTTCATCCAGTTGGCTGCTGCTGGACTCCCTATATCTAAGTTCACCCAATAAACCTATTTCAGTTTGTTTGTTTCATGGGTGTGTGGCCCATCCTTTGTCCCAAAGTTAAAGTCAGCTGGGGTGCAGTGACACAGTCCTCTATAGATATATAGGGTTTCACGTGTCCAGGTAGATACGCCTCACCTCCCTGCAGGATAGAATATAAAGGAGTACTTTGAAGCCCCCAAGGGCCATGCTGGTGGGCAGGGTGTGTGGGTATGTGATGATATCGCTCACTTTCGCCGCCTCCTTCCTGGCCAGGGAAATGTCATTGCTCCTGGATTCCCATAGCTGCACTAACAATGCCTGCAAACTTTCCCTGGCCTCGTGGCACTGGGCAGCTGTATCAATAAGCTTGGTGAGAGTATATTCCCTCATCATGTTTCCTCAGTTGGGGCAGCCCCACTGGCTGGGGTTGCTGCTGTGCTGTGTTTTCCATTGTATTAGGGGCTGGATAGCCTGGGGCATTTTGTCCTTTATTTCACTGCCAATCACCACAACTCCTCTCTCCTCACTTTCCCAGGGATTCCACCTCTTAGTGTCCCAATCATCAGGTTGTCACAGCACTTGGACCTTAATTTGAGGCAGGTTTCACCCTCCTAGTTTTGCAAAACAGCATGCTTATCCTGCCCTCCCACTTCTCTGCCACCCCTAAGCTAGTAGAGCAGTGGACATGCATGTCCTCTAACTTCAGATCTTCCAACTCTCTTAACTTGAGCTTCAGCCTATAGTTGAACATTGCTGGCCAGCCAAACTGCCCACAGTAGAAGCCAGCCCACACATGTCCCTTCTCTGCTGCAGTGCGCTCTGCACAGTTCCTCAGACAAATGCATTTTCCAGGTGTCCCCATACTCATGAAGTGGTCTACAAGCATCTAACTTACCAGCCATCTCTTCCCACAGAGACTGATGGCCACCCTGGGATTTCCCCTGGGGATGCCTCTTTCCCAAGGCCCATTCCTTTGGTCTCTGGCTAATTGTTGGTTTGAAACTTCAGGAGTTCCCTGGGTGAAATTCAAATTGCCTCCATATAGGGAGGGCAAGGAGATAACTCAAGAAAGAGGCAGGCCACTCTAGATTGGTAGTGGGAGTTTTAATAAGCAAGGTAACTTAAGAGGCTTGTCTTGAGCTAGATGAGTAGATCTCCACAGCTGCCCACCAGAGTAACAGTTTATAAAGAGGACTCAGAGATGAACGATTAAACATGGTGGAATAGGAAGGCAAGACAGAAACCTCCTCCCAAAACACATAAAAGAGGAAAATACAGCAAATGCAACTAGACCGGAAAATGACCTGAAGATTGCAGAATAGACCCTCTACACCTGAGGAAGAAGAGAGGACCACAAAGAAAAGGGTGAAGTGGCAAAGCCAAGATGGAGGGGAACCCAAACCCTTCCCCCACCCCAGCCCACAGGCAGGAGAGAGATGAACAGAGCTGGATGGGGGTAGGAGCCTGAGAACTCTGTACACCTGGTCCTGTAGATCTGCTCCGAGAGCACAAGCCCACATTACATTGGATTCTAGTGATTTTGGGGGCTGGACACCAGGGGTAGGTGGCTGAGACTCCAGTAAATATGGAAGACAGGCACTCTCCACCAGTCCTGAGACCTGAAGCAGAGGCAGCAGTTTGAAAGACTTGCCAGCAGTGTGAGGAGTACTGGAGGTGACAAGGGTTGGACAGAACTCTCCTCAGGAGAAAGGGCAGGTGGAGGATACCTCCTCAGTACTTCCTCGGCCCAGCAGATTGGGAACTCTTGGGAGCTCCAGATGCTCCATCCCCCTTGCTGGCAATGCAGCCCTGAGGCTCCTCCCTGTGCCTGCTGCCAACAGACCACCCACTTGGCCCAGCAGCAGCATCAGACTTTGCTGCCTGGCAGGCAAAAGACTTTCCCAGCTTGCTTAGCTCCATTTCAGCCCAACTGGGGAGGGGCCTGGAAGAGCCAGCCCCAAGAGCTCCTTCCTCCCTGCAGGTGTCCAAAGCTGGTGCTGCCTGTTTGGCTGTGGTACATCAGTCCACCCACCCCATTAACCCTGCAGCCTTGTCATTGCTGCAGGCCAGGCAGAGGGCAGCCCCATGCACAGTGAGCTCAACAGAGATTCCTGAGTTAATCCCAAAGGCAGCAACTCAAACTACCAATCCAGACTTAGACCACTACAGAAGCCAGACAGAAAGGTGGCCCTGCCCATGGCACATCAACAGCTGGGGGCCACTGCAAAATAGAACCAGGCACTAGAGAGTAAAAGTCTTGAGCTTCTGGGCACCATAGCACACCTTCTTTAGACTAGAAAGTATAGCAGAGACATCTAACACAAAGGAAGAAACACAGAATCCCTGATAAAATGAGCAGGCAGAGGAATCTGATCCAAACAAAACTTTAAGACAGAACCCCAGAAAGAAGGCTAAATGAAACAGATGACTAATCTTCTTGATA